AGCTGAGGTGTCCTTGAACCATCATTTATCACCACTTGTCAAGCATAAAACTTAAAACCTTTAGGTTTAGGTATAGAGTGTATTGTTTCCTAGGAGACAGTAACATCCCTGAGTGGGGCTAAAAAAGCCTTGTAGGGCATCTGATATTTGGCCAAACCAGTGCTTCATCTGGATGGCTATATCATCTTACTTTACCATTTTTTTAATCTGAATATCTATGGAGAAGCATTTGAGATGGTGTATTAAACCCCTTACAATACAATAATACTAAGCAATGTAGAGATGTCAACTCCAAAACCGTCATAGTGCTTTAAGAAAAAAAAAAAAAATCTAGCATATTTTCAAAATGTTGCTTACGTTGAGTGCTGAGTTAAAAATCAGTGTAATAACTCTGCAATCACAAAGGTTAGACAGCACTGTATGAATTAGAGAGTGCTATTAGGGTTCCCACGCAATGGAGCATATTGATGGGATTTTGGGGCCCAGGTTGAATATATGCATCATTCTCATGCTTTTGGGTTCTTCCTCTCCTTTTCCCTCCTCCTTAAAGAAATCAACATCCAAGTATCTGAACTAAAACTTCTGAATATCCTTAGTTTCTGGGGTTATTTATCTGGTATAGATAGTGCTCCTCTCTTCCTCAGCCATGTGGGAGTTTGATACACAGTTAAGGAGTGCCTAACTGACCAACTTGCTATACGGGGGGGAGGGGGAGGGAAGGATGCACCATCATACTGAGTTGCTTTTATCCATCACATTTTAGTGAGCCCCCCCTTTAAACTCAAAGAGGCCAAAAATTTGCCATCAGGCATTTTCACTTTCTCTGTTCCCTACAATACTTTATAGCCCCGATGCACTTTCTGAATTGCTATTTTGCCTTCAGGCAGAACAAACAGTATAGGAAGGCTTATATCTGTCTATCAATCAGTTTAAAGTAGCCTTCTGGTGTTAAACTCCTTCATGCTCTTTTTCATGAGAATTTTATTATTCTTGCATTGTGAAGTTTCCCCTTGTCACCCTGGCATTTTAGGTAAACTTTTGGATAGGCCAGCTCCAAACCAGTATGCAGTGATGGCAATTTCCATCAGTCATGTAGGAAAGCAAATCAGTGACAGCAGAGAGTTTTAATATGCTTATGATAATTTGTAATACTGAGGAGACTCATAGATGGAAATTTTCTGTATAAAGGGAACCCTTCAGGCCTACTGATTATCCAAAAGTTGTACTTTTTTTTTTTTTTTATACTAATCTTTCTAAGTTCCCTATTTCTCTCCTTCTAAGGAGAAAAATGGTGTCTTTTTACCTGAGCTCTTTTAGAGAAGTTAGCCAACTGCTTTCAGCTGGATCTGTTAGATGACCACCTGATCTCTAGCTAATCAGGAGGAACTGCAGGGTGAGAGAGCAAGCAAACAAGAAAGCTGGGATAAATATCCCCTGGATTCACAAAAGCCTACAAGCCTCTGTTAGTGCTTGAGGGGAGTCTTTTAGAAATTTTCTGTATAAAGGGAACCCTTCAGGCCTACTGATTATCCAAAAGTTGTACTTTTTTTTTTTTTTTTTAATACTAATCTTCTAAGTTCCCTATTTCTCTCCTTCTAAGGAGAAAAATGGTGTCTTTTTACCTGAGCTCTTTTAGAGAAGTTAGCCAACTGCTTTCAGCTGGATCTGTTAGATGACCACCTGATCTCTAGCTAATCAGGAGGAACTGCAGGGTGAGAGAGCAAGCAAACAAGAAAGCTGGGATAAATATCCCCTGGATTCACAAAAGCCTACAAGCCTCTGTTAGTGCTTGAGGTGTGTATTTTAATAGAGTGTTAGGGGGAAGAGTCATGCTTCGCAACCAATGGACATCATCTATCTGGACTTCTGCAAAGCCTTTGACACGGTCCCCCACAACATCCTTCTCTCTAAATTGGAGAGCTATGGATTTGATGGGTGGATTGTTGGGTGGATAAGGAACTGGCTGGATGATCACATCCAGAGGGTAGTGGTCAATGGCTCGATGTCTGGATGGAGACCGGTGATGAGTGGTGTCCCTCAGGGGTCCGT